ACGCACCCTGAACATCGGTGCCCCCCAGGGCTGTGTGCGGAGCCCTCTGCTGGACACTAATGACTGCCTGTCCACATCAGACACGAACACCATCATTAAGTTTGCTGAGGACACAGCAGTGGTGGGTCTGATCTCCAACAACAACAACAAGGAGGACTATTTAATGGAGATCACCCACTTTCTATAACTATTGTTTAACAGTAACGCTTCGGTTGTGCTAAATCTGTAGGAAATTTAATGGAATTGAAATAATACCTGTTGATGCCTGTTTTTGATTGGTTACATCACTCAAACCTGTATTAGACTAAAAATGACAACCTATCTTCACAGACACCAGCCTTCTACTTTCTTAATTCGTCCAGTAAACACGGTCATCCTTGTTCTCTTACGGGAACTTTTCTCATCTCTCTAAGGTTGCGTACGCATTGTTGTGATTTTTTTTGCAGTTAAAGTGCTGACTCAGCTACATGTTGGGCTGATAATGAAAAGCAGTTTTTGGTTATCACAGCGACTCGGCGCCTCTATCAGTAAACTGTACCAGCTACAACTCTTAAACATTTAGAAAAAGTCCCGCAACACACAGCCAGTGTGCTTCCCATCAGAGGAACATTCACCACCAACTTTTCTACAGCTACTTCCTCCGTTTTCAGTCCGTTTGTTGTCGTTGTCAGCTGTGTACAAATTGTCAATCCTCACTTCCTTTTTTTTTTCCCATGTTATTTAGTCAGTCACTGTCATGAATGCTTTTTATAAGATGTTGAACTGAGCAGCTTAAAAAGATTGCCAGGCACAGCACTTTTTCTAAAGCGACTCCTTTCTGTCTGCCTCGCGGCCGCTCCCCGCACACTTTAAAGTGGAAAAGCAGTTTGTAAAAAAAAAAAAAAAAAAGTAGAAGAGTGTGAACATGGCTTACAGTGGTGATCACACCAGAGGCTTTGAAAACGCACAGCATAGCTTTCCTGGAGTGTTCTCTGGCAGGCAGGCAGGCAGTCAGGCAGTCAGGCTGCTGAGCGTTTTGTTTCTGTACTACTAGCACAACCCAGTTCTAACTCTTGTGCGTTCAAGTCTCTTTAGCTTCAGTCATAACTGCGATAGAGACTCCTGAAACATTTTTGGAAAGCACAGATAGAAATCTGTGGTCACCCCGACTGGCATATTGCACGACTTCAAGCCTGCCTGCAGTTGCTTTCACACAGTCACACGGAGGGAATGCAAACACGCCACAGGCTTCCACATTTGTATTTGTTGCAGTTTGTGCTCGTCGGGTTTATTTGTTTTAATGAGAATGTCGGGGGTTGAACGGGAGCTTCAGAGTAGCGCTCGATCCTTTAATTTGTCAAGTGCTTGCTCACACGTTCAACGTGCCATCAAGTCCGTGTTCTCCCAAATATAACTTGATGCTGAGTGTCTCATCCAATCTTCCATCTACTCTTGTTCTCCGTGGATTCAGCTGCGCTATCAATTCTGACCCCAGCGAGCGCCGAAGCCAAGCTCCTCGCCGATCATGTGCATCAGTAAAATGCACATTTTGCAGAGTTCATAACTGCAGATACCGTATATATTTACTGTTGAACTGTACTTCATCACGTATATCCTTCGACGTTTCCCTCTTCCCCATCCCACTGTTAAACTGTAAGATAGATCATTAGCTTTAAATGGACTTCAATCCGCTCATTACATGTCCCATTTACCTTCACTGCATAACGCTCTACTTTTCATAACGAGACTGGAAAAAAAAAGTGGAGGGGGGAGTCGGAAAGAAGGAACGCACACGTGGGGAAGATCTAGGCGGAATGGGAACACGGGATGGAAAAGTGTGAATAAGGGAGTTAGTCAACAAGAGAGATGTAGAAAGCAGAGAGATGAAGACGGAGATAGGATGAGAAGTCGAACGTTAGGTTGTTCCAAAAGGATTCAACTCTTGGATGGAAAACAGTGAATTAGGAACCTGAGCTTCCTTTTTTTTTTTTTGCCGTCATAGCATCTGTACTCATATTGAATAAAACCTCAATTACAAAACATCATTATGATGGTTATGCTTAAGTCTGCAGGTCAGTGTGAGTCTGTGGGCACTTTATTCATGTCACCTAATGTATCTTCATGTGTTGCACCAACAATGCTGCGTGCCGGGTGTCACTTCATGAATGTCACATATATTTGTGTGGGTGTGTGCATTTACCGTTGAATAGTTTCATTTTCTAATAGATTTTTTTTTGCATGTTTATGAGGTTGCGTCGTGTGCACACGCTTCGGTGGCTGCGTGTATTATTTGTATTCAGGGTTGATATATTGTTAAGTTGTGACAATGTTGTTTGCGGTGACACCGACGATGTCAAGGTCAATTCGAGCGACGCGGATGCATCAGGCGCTTTTCTTTTTTTTTTTTTTTAACAGCAATAATTTGCTTTAATTTGTTTTCTGTCACTCCGCGAGCCTGCTAATGATGTGAAATCTGTTCGACCTGATGAAAAATAAAAGAGACCAAATGTTGAGATTCGCTGTCTTGAATTTATAACACCGGTAAGTGCAGTGTTTATTTTCCTCTGTCTTCACCTTAGGCCTTCACCACAGGTTTCATTGCCTTACTTATCTGCGCTGACCCGTTCGTTGACCCAATGTTCTCGCTCGTCCTCCTTCTCTCTGTGTCTTGTCATCCCCAGCTAACCGCACACCTCTCTCCATCACATCTCGGTTTGCTTCAACTAATCTTACTCTTTTTAGTTCTCCCACTCCTTCGAAGGCCTCCTCCTCCTGCTCCTCTCATCTCCTTTGATCCTTCAGCACGTACAGGGTCCTATTTCCTCGACGAGAAATATCGCTTTATGCTCAACCAGTCTTTTGTCTCTCGCTGTCCAAGCCATCTCATCCCTCTGTGTGAAGTCATTTAAATATCACACTGTTTCTGAACCTATATTTTCTGTCTGCCACCTTTTTTTTCTCCCCCCATCTGTCTTTTCTTCTTCAAGGAGTATTGTTTGGAATTACGCAACGTGGGCAGAGACAGAATATTGGAAAAAGGCTGAGAATGAAGAACTCGGATTTGGCAATCTGAAGATCAGAGTCTACCCTTTGCCTGAACATTTGAGTGGATCCCCTCTGACTCGAGGTTGAGCGTGCTACGTATAAAAATGTGGAAGATTTCGGTTGATCAAACTGAAAGAATGGCACAAATGGAAGCAGACAGTCTTAGTTTAGTACAAACAAGAACTTTTGGAGCTAAATTTCAACTTTAGGAGCTTAATTACAATCAAGTGAAAAGAATATTATAGTCAACTCAGACTCTGTTAGGATTAATTGACTTTAAAAAAAAAAAAAAGAGGAATCCATTGATTGTGCTACTCGAGTCACAAAACTGGAAATGTTAAATTTCTAAATTTATTATGATGTCATGTCATGTGGCACCATCAACCTGCCCAAACATTGTCAAATTCATTGCTTCTTTTTCAAAACACACAAATTACGCGACTGTTTTGGATCATGGCTCATGCTTTTAACACCTTCATATATTTGACTCGTCTCAAAATCAAGGAACCGTGACTAAACATTCATATTCTGCTGTATCTACTGCTGTGATTTAATCTGTTCTTCTATACACTACCTTCCATCTCTTCTTCCTGAACTCTTTCCCTCCTCTTCCGCCCTCTCCTCCTTTCCGTCTGACTGCCCTCTTCATCGCCACAACCCCCAGCCCTGCTTCCTCCTCTATTTGTCCTGTTTAGTGTCTAATCTCCATGTCTTTCCTTTCCACTTTCTCTGTCCAGTCAGTTACATCTCTTCATCTATCTCTTCTCCTTTCTCTCGCACAGGCCTTCTATTCATCTTGGTTCCCATCTATGCCTTCTCACTTCTTTAACTCGCGTCATTTCTCTCTGCCTCCGTCTCTTTTCCCCCCTTCCCTTCCCTCCCCTTTCTGTTTGTGTGTTTTCCTCTCTGGCCAAAATCCGCTTCAACTTGATCCTCTTAGCCCATATGAAGCTAAGAGGTTGGTAATGAAAAAGCTTCATATGCACCCGGAAGACACTCAAAACACACTTCAGGAGGAAGACACACGTTTAGCTGGTGCAACCCAACATAATGCAACGACAAGAGGCCCAGCACACTGAGCTGCTGATACTGGGAGCAGATCAGACTGAGATAAGCAAGCCTGTGATGTGTAAGTGGCCATGGCAAAATTGTCAGATCATAGCGTTGTCCACGGAATGAAAATGTACCTTTTTACTCGCCAAGGTTTCTGTGCCTGGAGCAACTTATTTTTATCCCCAGAGGACACGATCGTTATCTCACGTAGACATCTGTGACTACACTGAATCCACTGTTTTATAATAACATGGATCACACACACACACACACACACACATGTGCACTGGAAAACATAACAAAACATTTTAATACATTTTTGTGTGTGTAAAAGATTTGCAGCTGTGTTGTTTTTTTTAAATATATTTTTTTTTTTGCTGGAGAAACGAGCTGACATTAAAGCACAGTGCCTTTATTTCATTCCAACTGACACCCCCTTTCATGACAGAATATCACTGTCAGCACAGAGCAAGGTGGGCTAATTCTCTAAATGGAAGAAAAATACCTAATGAAGGATATGAAATTGGCCCCTTTATCCAACAATTTAAACACAGTTCATCTACCCTGCGCTACATGCGTTCGCTGCGTGTTTTCGGTGGAAGGCTCCACTTGGTAATTGCCTGACCCTCGTGCACTGTAGCCCGGAGGTCCTTTTGTTGCCTCTATCAGGCCTGTCAGACTGCCAATCACCAGTCTGTCTGCAGTGAGCCGATTACGAGCGGCGAACATGAACTCAGCAGCTTAAAGTTTTCACATTTTTCACTTCGGCGTGGTGTTACTGTCTTACCAACTATTTACAACAGACACATAAATAATCTACAAAAACGAAATAATTAACAACAAGGGAAACTCGTCAACCAACATGTCAGACGTCTTATCTGACACACCCACACAATTCACAGAAAATGACTGAGCGCACTTACTTTAGGTCCTGGAAGGGTTCTGCCCTTACATGTGAAGTCTCTACAGAATGGCTGAACACAACCCCTTCATTCCCTGTAGAGATGAAGAGGAGCGGATCAGAGGAAAAAAAAACAGAAATCACAGAAATCTTTAGTGTTGAACACAGCACAACCTTGCATCATTCTGTTCCCCGGTGCCGCGGCAGGCACTTAAACTGTACGACACGGTGCTCAGATCTTCTGCGTGTCGTAGAAAGTATGTTCAAATACAACAACATTTCCAGTAAAAGCTCGGTATCAAAGAAAGGAGTAGTTTGAAAATGTGAAGGATCGGGGAGGGGGGTGTAAGTGGTGTATTTAACTGTAGCTTTGGAGAGTTTGTGTTGTGTTCTGCACTGTATAGTCAGCGTAGACTCCATGTTTCAAAGATGTGATGGAGGCATAACGGTTCCCCCAAAACTTAACAAAGTCATCTGAAGCAGTTAATCATACAACAACCTTTATTTTTATGGTAATAAAAATGTCACCTTCATCGCACTACTTCCTCCCCTCCCTGAAAAAATATTTTCCTAATGCAGAACGGTTGCATGCAGTATGAACAAAATTGATGAAAGAAAAGGTTGGCTCTGATTTAATGCGGTGTTTAACCCCCCATGTCCAGCAGCCACCTCTGCAGCTGTGAACAGATGCTTGGTCGTGACTCTTGCTGAGACTGTAGAAGGCATGTTGAAAGCTCAGCAACTGCTCCGACTTTATTACTGCATTAGCACCTATATGTGCAGGCCCAACAGATAGCAGGGAGGTCCTGTGAGGAGCATAAGAACCCCACATCTCCAGAAAAAACCTCCAAAGCGCATAAACTTTAAGGCTACTGTTGCATTTCTCTGTTAAATCCCATTTCTAGGATTTATGTCAATGACAAATAAACACTGCACAAAAAAAATTGTGTGGTTGTGCAGCTTCCAACAGAAGAGAAAGTCTAAAGCCTCCAAGAAACTCAGGGTGGGCCTTGTTGTATGTTGCTTTTGTTTGATTGCAATGGTGTTTATCACCTTGTCACCCAAAGGCCATGTTTGTCCCAGCTTCTGACTGTGTTGCTTTTAGGTTCATTGCCACTCTGTGTTTACAACTGTTGTACATTCTCCCGAGCATTCTGCTGTGCACATGAAATGTTTATGAGCTTGTCGTAGACTTTTGGGCGGCACCTGTCCTTGTACACAAAAGCCACATAGTGTTTTCAAAGCAGAGCCAGTACATTTGAACTAGCATCAATTCCCACTGGGTGTTTTTTTTTTTTTCAGTTTCACACATGAAAATCTAGCATAAGCCTGCTCATATCACACCGAACTAGCTGCTGTGCTTCTACCTTGCAGCGTCTAATTCAGGGGTGGGCAATCCTGGTCCTCGAGGGCCACAATCCTGCATGTTTTTAGATGTTGATTCAAACGATCAGCTCATCATCAAGCTCTGCAGAAGCCTGATAATGATCCCGATCATTTGAATCAGGTGTGTTGGAAGAGGGAAACATGCAGGATTGTGGCCCTCGAGGACCAGGATTGCCCACCCCTGGACTCTAATTCATTACCTATGCCCTCCCTGCTACTGCAGAGGGCAGCAATGTGTGGAAATGTTTCTCAGCTTAAATTTTAAAAACATACATCAATCCACAAAGGTAAATGATAAACAGTGGCATGGCGTGGCTCCAGCAGACCTCAGCGCACGAGCCCAAACGGATGTGTGCGAATTTGCATTCTGGTCCGCCGCTCACACTCTCTTCTCTCACCTCCATCAAACAGTAAATGACAGCAACAATCACCTCTAGACCTCCACCTCTTCACCCCGCCCTCCATCCTGCGCGACCTCATTCCTTCAGAGTGCCTCTAATGGACAAATCTCCCAAATTACCCAGGCCAGCATGTGTGTGCTTAGGTGTGTGTATTTTGTGTTTTTAACCTTGAGAGTTGAGTTTGTCGGTTTGCATGAATGCATATTTTTGTACATTTCTGCAAAATCAAATAATGGAACATATTCGAGCAGAGACCCAGACGTACGGACACATCGGCTCGCCCCTCTTAGCATCCTCTTGATTTTCTCGCTTCCTCTTAACAAATGAGAAAAAAAAAGATATTCTACTGCAAGGGCATCTTTTCCCTCTCAGTTGTTTTTTTTTTAGTTCTTTTGTTTCATTTTGTTCCCTGCAATTACAGTCATCTGGCTTTGCTTAGACCTTTCATCTATCTTTCTCTCCCCCCTTATTTTACGTCTCTTTTGTCTCACTGTACTGGCTTCTTTTTTCAATTCAGGAAAAAACTACTCTGCTTGCTGACCCGTGTCTTGTTTGGCTGCACTCATCAAGAGCACTCTGTTTAACAGCTTACAGTGTGTGTAGGTATTGTATGTGTGTGTGTGTGTGTGTGTGTGTGCGTCCTCACGTAACCTTGTTACTCAACAAAAATTAGTCTGAGCCTGCTACTTGTCCTCAGCTGTATCTTTCTCTTCATAAATGCAAAAAGAATCACATCAAGTCCTCAAAAATGTGGAAAATGAGAATGTGGAAGTCTGTCAAACCTGTGACTTGCATTGATCTGTACTTTATTCATATAGCAAGTAGAAGGATTTATATTAATTTACAGGTTTACTATAAGACACTGTTTAGGTGATGTTGCATGTCTGCCCTTTAAATAGCAAAGCAACAAGTCGCGCTAATGTCGTTATTATGATTACACATCAGACATGTGGATTCAGGTTAAGAGAGCTTTTGTAGTGGTGATGTAAAAACTGTCTGAATTAATAAAAGCAAGGATCAATCCCTCCCAACACCCTGCTCCCATTCAAAAAACACAAAAAAATCTAAAGCTCTGATAGTCATTTTGTGTAAACTCTTTGTGTGAATCCCCACCTGTGACTTTGAGTTTCTCGGTACCGATGCTGATCTCCTCTTCGTCTGCAGAGAACAGAACTCTCTCTCCATCGGCGCTCCTCACCTCAAACCTCTGACACTGAGCCTCCACCGTTTCTGAACCTGAGACAGTGGGAGAGAAAGAGGGTTGTCCGGGTTAAAAATTTACAGCAAAAGAACACTCACAGCACATAAAAAGTTACCATCTGGCCAATGTTTTTTTATCCAAAGCCCCTTATCGAACCATTAGTGCATGAAGGCTTAGCTTGAATGACCACAGAGCAATCTGAACTCTGAACCAGAGCATCTCTATTTTGTCTTGCTGTGACACCGGTGCAACTTCAGTCCAGATAGCGGGAGGTGTTTGCCAGAGCGTAGACTGGCAACTCACACAATCCGCACTGTCATGATATGTAGTCAGTAGAAACGTATATATAAAACATGTGGTACAATGTCCCACTTAGTCTGGATAATAAAGACTTTTGAGAAAGCATATTAATCACTGACATGAGAAAAAGTGACTTTAAATGAATGAAAGATAGATGTTAGTTATGGAAGCACACTAGCATATTTGTATGTGATGTGCATATACCCACATCGCCCAAGTACAGATGTCAGAGGTGAAACGTTATGAACACACGTAAATACTCAGATATAACTGCCTTTTGTTTTAAGTTCAAACTGTCCGCATTCAACTCCAGAGTTATAACTTGCACCTTAAATTACATTTCCTTTTATGATTCTGCCTCGAGGAACCAACATGTTCTTTGAAGAGAAATGTAGGGTGTGACAAAGCAAATTTAGAATATGTTAAAGACAATGTTTTGGGCCACTTGACACAGTTTCTACTTTGCATAAAAATTCTCCTGAGGAAAAAAAAACGTTAAGGAAGTAAGTTTTTCGTTGGCAGGTTTCTGCAAAAATATCAGTCCGTCTGTCTGTCTGTCTGTCTGTCTGTGAAGAAGCACCTCTCACAGCTCAACGGGACAAAAATGAATGAATTATTATGACATGATATGAGCAGCATTACTGTAACTTATTAGGGGATGGAAGAAAGTAAGATGATGCTTCTACACTGCAAACACACTAATCATCCAACCAGAGCCGGCCCTCGGCATAGGCAGTATAGGCAAATGCTAAGGGCGCCCACATCCACAAGGGGGCGCCACAAACGGAGGAAGTGGCCAGAACGCACAGGCAGTATTTGATTGCAGATTGGTTTATACACGGATTTATGAAAAGAGTCTGGTGCTCAGGCAAGGTAAAGAAGGAAAGAAGAGGAAGAAAAACGGGAAAAAGACAGAGGTACGATAACGTCAGTGTGATGGAATTAATTAGTTCATGGATCGTAGTTGACATGCTAGCTTATTTTGGACAATTTATAATCAGTAAATAGCTATAGTTGACTTACACTAATATGTTACCACCACCTTAACTCAGTCAGGGATATTAAAAAAGTCAATATTAGGCCTGTTCAGGTGGTATTTTAACCTGCTGAATGTACTTTATATGGACTATATATATATATATAGATATAGAAATATATAAGGGCTGCACGATGTTGGAGAAAACTGACATTGCCATTTCTTCTAACCCTGTGAAATATGGTGACAGTGAACCTGCACTGATCTGGTTGGCAACAAACCAACCATTGAACTTTTTGAGCTCTACATCTTAAAATGGGACATTATAGCTTCATAATTAAACTAAATAACTACCAATGAGTGACAAACAGGTCATTCACAATTTTATTCAACAACTGAAACTTTTTGCAGCAAAACTTAACATCTTTCTTTTTTTATCAAAAATTCTTAAATAAGTAAGAAAGTAAGTAAGTAAGAAAGTAAGTAAGTAAGTAAGTAAATAAGTAAGTAAGTAAGTAAGTAAGTAAGTAAGTAAATAAGTAAGTAAGTAAGTAAGTAAGTAAGTAAGTAAATAAGTAAGTAAGTAAGTAAATAAGTAAATAAATAAGTAAGTAAGCAAGTAAATAAGTAAGTAAGTAAGTAAGCAAGTAAGTAAGTAAGTAAATAAGTAAATAAGTAAGTAAGTAAGTAAGTGAATAAGTAAGTAAGTAAGTGAGTAAATAAGTAAGTAAGTAAGTAAGTAAATAAATAAGTAAGTAAGTAAGTAAGTAAATAAATAAATTAAATAAGAGCATCTCTACATCAGATTCCTGAGTGGTCCACAGCCCCTTGTTTTGTAAGTAGTAGAAAATAAATAAACAAGCTATAGAACATTTTTTAAATATTCGTACAAAGCCTTATTTATATGGTATTTTTAATTTATGTCACTTGTTTCTTCAGTTTTATTTAGTGTGTTGTTTATATGTAAATAAAAGCTTGAATACATGCGTACAGTTTCTGTGTTACTGCATTATAATAAAGAGTGAAATTCACTGTGAAGCTAGGGGGCGCCACCTACAATCTTGCCCCGGGCACCAAATTGGTCCGGCCCTGCATTCAACTTAATGTTTCACGTTGTTCTCAATGACACATGATGAATACGTGACTGCAGGGAAGAAAAATGTGCAGTTTTCTGTGGAAATGAATGTCAAAAAAAATTTAAATACATTTGTTATTGAGTTATCAGTAATCTAAAGTCAACAGTGCACCACATTGTTCGTAACTGCTGCTGTTCCATATAAGTGGAAAGGCTCAGTCGATGTGTCGCTGGTAGCTTTTTAAAGAAAAGGTTAGCAGTAACACCTGCAAAAGTTTATACATCTAACAAAGCTGGCAAATTAACCAAAGTGTGCATTTCGTTTATCCTCGCTCCCTTCGGTTTCTGATTCGGACCGTGATGTGCTGCCGCTCCATCCCTCCCGAACCTATGAAGAAATCTCTCTCCCTCCCTGTCTTCCCATCTCCTCCCTTCACCGCCTGGGCTCCCAGGCTATTACAAGTGTCAATTAGAAACCCAGAGTGCCTTGTCAGTCATAATCAAACTTTATTAGCAGCTATCAATCTGGGATTAAGCTCTTTTTTCGCATCTCTCTCTCTCTCTCTCTCTCACACTGTCTTTATCCTGTCCAACTCTATCTCCTTAAGCCTCTCACTCCTCCACTGACTGTGTGAAAAAGCAATTGAGATTTGTGTTGGCAAAAGCTCACCCTACAGCACGATGTGTGTGTGTGTGTGTTACGATATATGCAAAGACTTAGCAGATACGAGGGTGCGGGGAGGGGAGGAGAGCGGGTGACAGAGTTGGGAGAGGTATGGCGAGAGAGGAATCAAAGAACGAAAAAAAAAAAAAGAGGGTTTAAGTTTGAGAAGCAGAGATGAAGAGAAAATGAAGCTGGTTTAAATTGGAGATGTGCTGTGCTGGTTGCTGTCTCAGGCATCCAGCTAGTTCTCTTTGGCTGCTCAGCTCTTGTCCTATAATACAGCTTGAAGTGCAGATTTCCAACACGGGCGCAGGTCAGCATATTTCCAAAAGATTTGTGTTTCATTCACCAAAAAAAAAAAAAAAAAAAAAAGTCTCTCCTTCTCTTCTCAGCAGGGGAGTATCAAAGATTCTAAAGCTGCAGGAGATGGGCAACGACAGCGAGAACTTTGCGAAAACTTAGTCCGACGGAAAAGTGCTCATGAGCCCGACAATGTTTTAAACATCCTGTTAAAGGGAAGTTACACGAGTCGAGACAATCTGCAGATTTATAATTTAAGATACAGACAGGAGGAAACTGCTAATGCCAAATGTCAGACTTTCTTCTAAATCGGTAAAATGAACCCTAAAGATTTGGTATTTTATTGTATTTGACATTGTGTGCACATAAAGGGAAGTTGAGGGAACGTGAGGGGAGTTCAGGGGAGCTGTGCATGAGAATCCTTGGTTGAGTCCAGACCATGGTGGTGGTGGTGGTGAAGAGCTGAATAAGTGATGGATGAGATGTGATGCAGGACTTCTGATGACCACAGAAGGACCCGCTGACTTGAACCGAAGCGACGCTTACTGAAATGACAACTGACAGCAGCAGGGAACGGAGCGGTGTTTGACAGCAGGTTTGCAGAGGTTGCAGCCAAATCTGATTGGTTTAAGTGAAAGAGTAAATACCCTCTGTCAGCTGGCTGAGCTGGCAGCGGGAAAAAAAACAAAACAAAATATAAGAGACTGTAAATAAACTGAGTAAGCACGGAGATACTATTCCTTATTGAACTTTGGCTAAGATGCGTTACAAAAGGTAGAGAAGACTATCTTATAATTATCTAGTCTTTAGCTATGACATACGATGACATTATAACTGTCTTCTCTGTCGGGGCTGTGATAAGTGGTGTCCATTGCGTTAATGGTAAACTGAAGTAAATCTGGGAGGGAGAGAGAACTGAACACAACAGCTCTAAACGCTGCCGTGACAACACGAGACAAAGTGGCCAAAGGTTTTTCATTTCAAACGGTCGCGTGGAGAAGCGGCAGACCGTCAGGGCGGAGTGATCGGTAGGAATCCCCCGCTGAGCAGTTAATGCAAATGAACAGCGGTGTGG